GGAATGCAGGCCTTTTGGCCTATGCAGGCAGCCCAAATGGATCTATTTTAGATAGGACTACTTTTGAATTCATCATTCTGATCAGAATTTGTTTGAGAATACTATTGCTGGAAGCATGTTACATCTTGTGATTACCTTGAACATTGTTGGTTGTATTATAACAAACACATAAAATCATTATTTAGCTAAACTGATCTTAAACACATGCACATAGTATCTCTTCTGTTGCTGTCACTTTCACTGTATTCCTTTTCTGATATGCAGATTTTTAACACTAACATTGTGAAATATTTTTGAAGCTGCTTTATTAAGCAAGTGGTTTAGCTCAAATGTATTGTTTTTCTTTAATGAGAAACATTGTCTGTACTTTCTGCACTGTATCATACCCACTAGTATGAACAATACACATCAGGAGTGATACATGCAAAAAGTATACACATCCTTGCAATTTTATTTGTCGTTTCCAGCAGAAGAATAATTGTTTGGTTTGTATAATGGATCTCATTAATTGAATATATTTGATGCATATATTAATTGAAATAATGTCATGTTCTTATACTGAATCATATCAAGAGACAAGAAACTTTTTCATCTGCACAAGCACTGTGCTGTGCCTTACTACTAAGACTGACTCAAGTAATTTCTTCTGTGAAGTGGGATCAACATTCATTTCATAAAGGCCAGGTACCTTACCAAGGGTTACTACTCTCTCTTGATCTGCATTTGAACCTTTGACCTTGAGGCAATAGGGTTATGAGATTCATTACATCTACCTCCTGATCTTTTCAATCTGATAGGCACTCTCATTTTTCAGCTACAATAACTCTGGCTAAAACCAAGCAACATTTAGGTGATGTGATGTAATACAATACAAGTCTTTTAATCCAACACATCTTCCATGGATGTCTTTTTTAAAAAAAATAATAATAATGATGATGTAAACAAATGAAATCTTTCATTCTTTTCATGGAGTGTGATAAATACAACATACAGTTGATAAGATTTTCAGAACAGAATAATCTAGTATAGAATTTTATGCCAACAATATTTGTTTGCAAAATTATCTGAAATACACATTTTGACACAAGAAATATATCTATATTACCAGTAGTGTCATGAATATTGAAAAACATATGATGCATTTTGTTGAACATATTATTCTATTTTTTTTTTTAAAATCCAAATTACAGATGTTAAGATGAATTAATGAATCAAAAAACTGAACAAACTATCTCCAAGGTCAATAACAGGCACTAAATAATAGCTCTAATAATAATAATAATAAAATTTATTTATATCCCACTTATTGACAAAGACAATCCAAGCGGCTTACATAAAAACTCATACAATATCACCCTCTGCGATTATCTAGACTTCACCTAGCTGTAAGTGGGCCCATGAAATTGATTATTTGTATATATCATAGAATCATAGAATCCTAGAGTTGGAAGAGACCACAAGGGCCATCCAGTCCAACCCCCTACCATGCAGGAACACACACACAAAGCACCCCTAACAGATGGCCATCCAGCCTCTGTTTAAAGAACAAAGAAGGAGACTCCACAACACTCTGAGGGAGTGTGTTCCACTGTCAAACAGCCCTTACTGTCAAGAAGTTCCTCCTAATGTTGAGGTGGAATCTCTTTTCCTGTAGCTTGCACCCATTGTTCTGGGTCCTATTCTCTGGAGCAGCAGAAAACAAGCTTGCTCCATCCTCAATATGACATGCCTTCAAATAGTTAAACATATTTGATATATAACTGTATATAGTGGACATTTAAATCCTCAACTGTTTTGCAAGCAAGAATGAATAATTACAGTAGATTTGTCATAGTAGAAGAGGAGAAAAATGAATATTCCAACACAGAATATTGCAACACAGAAAATGGTGTTTTCTGTAGAGGAAACCCCCTTTTTTGGGCACAAAACAGAAAACCTCCCATGTGTTTTTCTTGGCAGAATGTGTCTTCTGCAGCACTTTAAGTTGTCTAATACCAGAAAAACTGGGCAAAATTCCCACTGATCTAATTTGCCTGCCTGGTTTTCTCAACTACCAGGGACCTCATGTTTCAGTATGAGAATAAATAATTTTATATTTTCAATCCCTAGTAAGTGTGTGTGCATGTGCCTTCATGTCCCTTGTCAAGTTATGTCGACCCCATACTTAGATGTGGTTTTGCCAGTTCATTCCTCTTAAATATAGCCTTGTATAATTATAAAAATATAGATATATTGCTTTTTCTTTAAAGAGGGTATTTTCCAGAAA